AATATATTGAGAGGCCAATGTCAGAATTTTTAATTTTTTAAAAACTGTTCTACATGATTCTCTGGGTTTCATTCCCATCATTATCCTGATGGCCCTCTTTTGTAAAAGAAAAATCTTCTTAGCCTCCAACGAGTTTCCCCAAAATACTATTCCATATCTCATAACTGAATGAAAGTATGCATGGTAAATCATCCTTAGTGTTTCAATATTGCTATACAATTTAATGTTTCTTATTGCAAAGCATGCCTTGCCCAATCTAGACAGCATCGATTCAATCTGTGACTTCCAATTCAGGGTCTTATCAATTTCAATGCCCAAGAATTTAACGTGGGTTTCCTCATGCAATATCTCATCATTAAACTTTAAATGGATAGACATATTATCTCGATTAATTGTATCAAATTTTAACACTTTAGTTTTTTCAGATTTAGAGACAGGCCATTACATGCACACCAATGGCTTAAAGAATTCAACACAATGTTAGACCTTACTTGGATTTCATCAAGATCAATGCCTGATACTAATATGCTTGTATCGTCTGCATACAACAATAATCATCAGTATTTAATGCTGATGACAGGTCACTGATATATAAAAGAAACAGCAAGGGACCCAAAATCGAGCCCTGCAGCACTCCATATTCAACAATCTCCCATCCTGAACAACATTTTTCATTCCCATTAGTATACAATTCCACTCTTTGCCTTCTATTTCCCAAATATGACTTCAACCATGTTAAAGTTTTACCACCAAGTCCATATGCTGCCAACTTACTCAAAAGGATATCATGAACCACACAATCAAATGCCTTTGTCAAATCACAGAAAATTCCTAATGAATGACAGCGTCGTTCCAAAGTTTTTAATATATGATTAGTTAGGGCATACATTGTACTTCTATTTTCTCTAAATCCGAACTGAGCAGATGAAATTAGATTATTTGTATGTAAGTGCTGCTTTATCCTGTTATACATTGCTTTTTCAAATATCTTGGAGAAGATTATTAACAGTGATATTGGTCTATAATTTGCCATAACAACCTTCTCACCTGTTTTGTGTATAGGTCTTACTGATGCAAATTTCTATCCGGAAAAATTCCACGTTCAAGTGATGCATTAAGTATATGTCCAAGTGGTTTACTTATTTGATCAGTGCTATATTTTATTATTCTGCTAGAAATACTGTCATAACCTGTAGAGTTTTTCGATTTTAGTGTCTTAAGTATGTTCTTTATTTCTGCCTCAGTTATGGGTATTAATTTCAAAGCAGGCAAGTTATCATACTTAAGAGTATTTAATAATTTAATTGCCTCATTTTTATCAGCATTTTTTTTGCCAAATTCTCAGTTACAGTTGTAAAATGTTTATTAAATATTCTCACTAATTCCTTAGGAGCCATTACTTTACTTTTCCCCACCTGCAATTCTGTTACTTTATCTGAGATCTGGTTTTTACCAGTTTCTTTATTGATAATCTTCCAAGTTAATTGTATTTTATTTTCTGAGTTACTTATTAATTTTTGATAATACAGTCTCTTTGCTTCTCTTATTGCTCTCACCAGTATCTTACAATATCTGTTATGGTATAACTTCAAACTATTACTTGATTTTTTGACTAAGGTGTATAATGCTCTCTTATACTTACAAGATACTCTTACGCCTTTCGTTATCCATTTATTAGAGTCTTTCTTTTTTTATACTATGGGAAAGCTATTTTCTAAGAATGATAAAAAGATATTGTGAAAGATATTAAATTTCATATTAACATTCTCTTGGTTATAAACTTCTATCCAATTTTCATTTTGTAAAGCCCGTTGAAAACATACTATGTTTTCCTCATTAATGTCTCTATATGCTCTTACATGATCACTTTGCCTCATCACCAGCATGTCTCCAAGTATCAAAATTTGCCCAAATGTTACAAAGCTTTCTGGTATACCTCTCCGATGCTATGCATCTTACTTACAGCACTTCCTGCCGTTGGTTTCCAAGACAAACTTATGATACTTTTATAGCTCGGTGGACTGTGAAACAGATCTTTGATCAGAGTGTTGATGTTAGACGTCGTCTTAAGGGCAACAACTTTTATCTTGTTCTCGTCAGTTTTCAGTTCATCTGAAGTCTTCCCTTGCAGGGCTTCTCGCAACTTTTTTATGTAACCTTGGATTCCACGTGCAAAATACTGCAACCTACAAATACATCAAGAAGAATTCTAAATAAGAAGTGTGGAAAAATGTCCCACATTCAATTCCACTGTGTACTCAGTGTTTTTGTAAATCTCACTGACTCTGACGTTCATTTATTCCAGATACAAAGCTATTATAAGATTTGAGGTTTCCAAAGCAGTGAAAATTCAGACTGTGGTCTTCTGAGTTGACAATATTTACAGTCCCACAGTTGATAGATGATGTGTCACAAAAACCTGCCACCACCATCTTAAAGGCAGAACATTAAAGCAGCATGCTCTTCCAAAGTGTTGATGACCATCTACAAGAATACAGTGACATATCACAGAAGACCACAATCTGTCATATTTACATATATAATTTACACAATATGAAAACACAAATAACATTAATTATTAATATTTATATATACTTAACTATGAATCTGTGACCGAATGCTGGTGGTAAAAATAATGTATTTAATTTTGTCCCCAAACTTTCTTGTCTAAAAGTAGGTGTGCTTGAATTATGTGAGAAAATATGGTAATCAAAACCATTAGTTAAACACACAAGAGCCACATGTATTCTGCTTTAAATATCTGCCACACGAAAAAGGGCCTCTTAACTATAGCGTGAGTTTTGCCACCTTTCACATAATTTTCCAAGACTACTCCTCTCTTTTTAAGAGCCATCTCTGGGACCTTGAGCAACAGATTTGGCCTTGCTGAGTTGCCTTCCTCATCTTGGCTGTCTGATGAGGGGGAGAGTGCCTCCTTAATACTGTTGAACAAGTCTCCCCTTCTATGCCCATGAACCCTGGACAGAGGGTATCACTGTATTTTAAAGACCCCAGATTAAGCATTCCTTTTGGTCCATGGATCCTTATTCATTACATTCAAATCAGCCTGACATATATGGTGGTCTCCATCATCTGCCACCCAGGGAACCTGTCCTCTAGAGGTTACAACGTCCTTCTTAGAAATTATAATTACAAGTTATAGAATATTAAATGATACATTAATGTCTGCAACTAACCTGAACCGGAAATCCTTCATTCTCTCTGCATCTTTTGTCAGGAAATCAGGGCATTGCCTTCCCAGTCGATGGAATGCATACATCAGGCATTCTACATAAGAGAACTCAAGACGTGGTTCCTCCTGGCTGGGTTTCTCTACATCGCTCTCAGGAGGCTGAGGCATATACTCCTGGAAAAATAATGAAGAGTAAACAATGGTCATTATAAAAAATGTACCATGAAGTCTTTTCAAACAATTATACCACCTTCACAATTGCATAACAATTGCTGCCAATCTAATATTATTTTAAACAGATTGAAGACCAAGGCATAGGTGGTGGCAATGATGGTAGGTTTTTTTCAGAGTATTTGTTCCCCTGCCAATTCTCATTCCACTGACTGTTCCAGTCACAAATCATCCATCACCTAGGACTGGTACAACAGGCCAGTCACCAATGTGCCAAGTGGACTGCCACACCCCACCCTTGGGGGAGGAAGTATTAAATTCTGGAAGGTCACAATGGGGTGGCCATCTAGCTTGAATGCAGGATCTAAGAAATGCACAGAGAATTTTGATGAAACTGTTGGAAAGTGGTAACCTGGAAGAATAAGAAGGAAAAGACAGGACAACAATTAAGGTGTACCTCATAGAGGTAGATCATGATAGAATTGGTTCAGGAATGTATTTGGTATTAACAGTGATAAGTTTTTGCATTCTACTGCAAAAGAGTCAGAGTTAATTAATTTCATTAACAGATTAATCAGAAACGAGAAGAATATTTTCACATGAAACAGGACCCTGTTGCTGAATTAATAATAAACATGGTACCTGATATCCAAAGCTAAGAAAAATTGGTTCAAGATGATTTCCAATCACAGATCACACAAATGGATGGATAAATCCCTTGACTCTATGTCTTAACATTAAAAATCAAAATAAACAATAGGAACTGTACAAGACATCAGCACAGTAATATCAGTGAACATTTATTTTAAGCTGCATTCTAAATTTTAAAATGACAAAGTATTGTCACGTTGTAACATGTATTACACAAAACTGGCTTCTGTTCCTTTACTAGTCAATACAGTCTATGTTCATAATTATCTAAAGTTATGATTCACATTACTGCAAGGTAACCCATACAAGTTTTGGAACTTAACCAATTAACTGCATAACAAACTGCAAACATTTTCTGTTCAAATGTCCACTCTTTTACCACTGGAACCAAACATTTATTTTTCATTTGAATAAAAGATCCTAGAGGTAAACTTGTCCCTCTGCTTAATTAGTTAAGCACCACACCATGAATATGCATGAGGGCGTGGAGATACAGTTCCACCATTCTTGACCTCAGTACTAGATGGAGGTGAGTGGTCAGCTTCACGTGCCAGCTACTTTAATCCCAGGGAAAGAGCCCCTGGTACCAACTGGATAGGAGGCTGGGCAGGTCACAGAAGAGGTCTGGACGCTGTGGTGTAGAGAAAAATCTCTTACCCATTCCAGGAATCTAACCCCAGCTACCCAGCCTGTAGCTATACCAAATGAGTTACACAAACTCCTAGAAGAAAGATCATACTAAAGATAAAGCAATTCATCACATTTTGTGATTATACAAATGTATCAGACTGATGAAATGCAGAGTGTGCAAACAGCTGAATTCAATGTGCTCAAGAACAGGTGACCTTTCAATCCTATAAATGGCTGGCAATGTATATATACCTGAACTTAACAATTTACTGTAAGCAGTTAAATAAGAACAGCTAAGACATTATTATATTTAAGCATCCTATTACACTCTACACAATATATGACACAAATTCCATCCTAAGTGCAACAATTTATTGTATTTCTTTCGTCTGCCTTTCTTCTATGCTACATGTTTCAGCTGCAAACGGCCATTATCAGGTGTATACTCTCACGTAGCTGCTACTCTGCATGTAGTTTAAAATTTAAAAACACTAGTCTTCTCAATTGTTCATTTCGCTGTTCCTAACAGGTTTCGATATATCAGAATCTTCCCCGCTGATATCTGTCAGATATGTACAAAATCTCTGTTAACCTACACACGTCAATTTGATTTTCATAAAATGGCACTTTTAAAATCTTCAATTCCAATTTTAAAAATTTCTTTAAAATTTTTTCGAATTTTAAAATTTAAAATTCTCAGGGTTACCCGCCCTATATCTATAGTGCTGCAGCGGCTACGTCTTGTTTTCAGCACTGTTCTGGTATTATTCTGTGTAGGACATGCACACAGGGAGCCTACAGCACTATGTGGTTCATGCCAAGGCTATACAGCAAGAGCCAATGGGAAAAGTTACTCGGAGGTTAGGGTCAGCGGTCAGTGAGTCTTGAGTTACACTGTCAGCAGCTGCTATATAGCAACGACTAGTGAACAAAAAGAAGTGTGCTGTATTTATAGTGATCTACAGAGTCTCTAAAGTAGTCAGACTGTTATAATTACTTGTAGTTATGAATTAGGAGTTCAATAAATCCAATTATCAATCCAAACCCCATGTCTAGACACTAACATGTGACCATATTAAAATTTATATTTGAAACTGCAAAGTTTGCTTTGCTTGCAAAAAGAAAATACAACTTGACTTACAATTAGCCTTTCAAACACCTTTTCTACTTTGGACTCAGCATTCTCCAAATTGCCACAGTGTGTGCACAATTCGGCAAACAATTTCAGTATCTCAAGTTGAGGATCAGCCCCTTCTTCATTAGAAGAGATTTCTTCAAATTGTGGCAGCACCTGTTCACACATGTAGGCCACAAAACGTGCCGAGTCAACCTGCGACTGCAAATTAAATTGAAAGTAAATAATGTTATTGTTATCTCTGCTATTTCATCTCATTTTTCCATAAATTACAGTACAGCCTTAGTAAATGAACAAACATTAATACAGTACATTCTTAATAAAAGGACAAATTTTAATATAATACTCTTAATAAACAGGTAAATATTAATATAAAGGTAACAAAGCTGGTCTGGATGATGTGGAGAAAAGAAAATTCTTGACCCTACCGGGACTTCTATGACCCCTTGGTTGTCCATCCCACAGCCAGTCACTATAAAGACTGCACTACCTCAGCTCCCAACAAACATTAATATAAGTCTCAACAAATAGAGGAACATTAATATAATAGTGTTAGTAAATGGAGAAATATTAACCCTTTCCAGTCAAATTTAATTCCATTACGGCTCTCTGCTGTTCCAGTTACATGCCACTGGGCTATGTAATTTCAACTAATATTAGAAACATTACTATCGACTAATATTAATAACTTTCCTAAATTTCAGTAACCTCAAAAAAACACCATGCCACAGTGGGCCTCAGAATCAGAACACGCAAAAATACGAAGTGGCACACCCACTCCACCGTTGAACTGGGAAGGACTAATACAACATGGCATTTGTAAACAAAGATCAATACAATAAACTCTTACTAAAGTACTCTCATCTCTAACTACTGCAGCTTTTACAAGACATTCATGAAATGTCTTCCTATACGGCATGTATCAAAAACAATCAATTTTGTATTCACAATGACAAGTATTTCAGTTTCTAAGTTCTCTAGCTCATTGGTGAGACTTCAGCAGTTTATGTTTGTAGTCGAGGCCCTCAGTGTGGCCAAATATGAATCCATTTCAGTTGCCACTTGTTTGATTTCTTTGGCCAGTTCTACATATTATTCATTTTGCTTGAATCTGTAATGTGCAGATTATGATTTAGTGTCACTGATGCATAAATATCAAACTCCTTATTTCGCCTTTCATAAATTAATACATATAGACAGTTGGCCTGTATATGTATATCTGTTCATATTTCTTTGTCCCCATATAGTTGTCAGTTGCCTGACACTTGTACTGTGGAACATACTAAGAAGTTTCATGTCTTTAGCAAACTGTTTGTGCACTATCATGGCTAAACCTGTGTTGTTTAATAATTAGATACTATAACGTCATTAAAAATTGACTGGAAAATTGCAAGAGAAATAATCTAGGAAGAGACAAGAGGATAAAACTTGAATGGATCTTAGAGAATTGGGGTGTTGAGATATGAACTAGTTCAGAATTCCAAGTCCAATAATGAGCTCTTCTTGTGACAGTGATGAAGGTTCATACTTCACAACAGGTGATTTCTTGATTAGCTGCTTCACTGACTGTGACTTACAGAAAGATTGTTTGCCATAATTAACTAACTTCACAGAGCTGAACCCTTCTTGAGAACCCACCAATTGTGCAGCCACCATGTTCACAAGAGCCCTCCACTGATCCCTATCCTAACCCTGATCATCCAGTCCATGCCACCCCATCTTATCTAAGATTCATTTTAATACTATCCATGCACCTACATCTCAGTCTTCATAGTGGTCCCTTTCCTTCTGGCTTTCCCACCAATATCCTATATGCATTCCCCTCCTCCCCCATTCGTGCTACACACCCTGCCCATCTCATCCTCCTTGACCTGATCATTCTAATTATACGTGGAGAACAGTAAAAGTTATGAAGCTCCACGTTATGCAGTTTTCTCCAACCTTCCATCACTTCATCTCTCTTCAGTCCAAATATTCTCCTCAGCACCCTGTTCTCAAACACCCTCTAAGTCAGAGGACAAATTTCACATCCATACAAAACCACAAGCAAAATTATAGATTTGCATATTCTAATTTTTATGCTTTACGACTGTGTACCATACTTACTTACTTACTCATGGAACTGAGCCCTTCTGGAGGAGCCGCCAATTCTGCAGCTACTCAAGAATTTTCCAGTGTTTTATGGAACCCAAAGGTTCATCACCGTGTTCACAAGAGCCCTCCACTGGTCCCTATTCTAAGCCAGATCTATCCAATCCATACCATCCAATCCTATCTCTCTAAGATCCATTCTAATATTGTCCACCCACCTACGCCTTGGTCTTCCCTGTGGTCTCTTTCCTTCTGGCTTTCCCACCAATATCCTATACACATTCCTCATCTCCCCCATTCGTGCTACATGACCTGCCCACCTAATCCTCCTTGACTTGATCATTCTAATTATACTTGGAGAAGAGTAAAAGTTATGAAGCTCCTCATTATGCAGTTTTCTCCAACCTCCTGTCACTTCATCCCTCTTCAGTCCAAATATTCTCCTCAACACCCTGTTCTCAAACACCCTCAGTCTATGTTCCTCCCTTAATGTCAGAGACCAACTTTCACACCCATACAGAACCACAGGTAAAATTATAGTTTTGTATATTCTAATTTTTATGTTTTTGAAAGCAGATGAGAAGACAAAGGGTTCTGGACTAAATTGTAGCAAGCATTACCTGAGTTCAATCGCCTCTTAATTTCCTCCTGAATCAGTTTTCGATCTCTTATCGTTGTTCCCAAATATCTGAACTGGGCCACATTTTCAAAACATCTGTTTTCTATCTTTCTGTCATGATTTTGCCCTGCATTTTGGTGACGAGACAATAACATATACTTAGTTTTCTCTGTGTTTCCTTGTAGACCAACCTCGTTACTTGCGTCGATTAAAGTTTGTGTGTTTTCCTTTAT